TTCTGCCTCCATAACCTCGAAAAATGCAAAAGTTCAAAAAACACGTTATATCTTCATGATCTTTAACTTTTGGCATTTTTTAGACTATCTACATCGAAAGATGGGACTTTTTTATGTAGAGATGGATTTTAAAAAAGTGGTTTTTCGTTTTTACGTAGTATTTAAATGACGAACGAGACAGCGCGAGCCGCTTCTTATATATTTATCACATATATAAATAGATATGTGTATATACTCATCAATTTTTTTTCACTTCTTTTGTTAATGTCTCGTTTAAAAATATGTATGTGTCGTCAAAATTTTTTTTCGGATACATCAAAATAAAAATTTTTACTTTGATGCTTTTTGTTAGCAAGGCCATTCCATAATATATCTTTCAATACTAAAGTAACTTCTAAGGATTCAAACATAATTTATACATTTTAAATATCGTAAGAAATTATGAACATCCTATTTACGACAGAAAAAAGGCAGATGCAGAAGCTTAATTTAAGTGCAATCATCGGCGCCCATTAACTTCTATGTACAAAAATTTGCAATGCTCATCAGTAAATTTTGGTAAAACAAAATATAAAATCTTAGATAGTTTTGTAACAATTTTAAAATTGTTTGCAAATCTTTAAAAAGGTGAACTACTATTTGATTTTAGACTGCCAGAAGAATAATAATAAATGAAACATTTCTATTAATTAGTGATTAAAATTTTTTTGCAAGATTTTGAGACAAAATATTTTTCAAAATACCACGCGTAGTATTATATTTTAATAAAATACTTAATACCCTGTAAGGATAAGTATTATCATAAAGCTATTTTTATGCTGCAGTTTATTAAGAAAGTTTAATAATTTATATGAAATGCAGAAAAAGCATCCTAATACTTTGAACAATGATACCATCGGGTAAGAGCAAGAAAAAGTCTTTTTGGCGTAAAAGTCAAGAATTTGTTGTAACAAGAATGATTATAATCATTACGATGATCACCAGTAAGTAAGCGCCCCATTATACTTAGTGATTTACGATGATGTTATGATTTGTTTAATGCTTAATTTATTAATATGTATGTATAGTAAATGTAGTACCAACTTAAAATCAAAGGAATAAAAATTAAAGGCTCTTTCTGATATTCGACAGAGATTAGTAGAGAGATTGCTGACTGCAATGCTACGGCACGAGTTCACTTTATGCCACTGTTCCGAGCGCCCCGTCACGAACAAGCTGTCGATCGAACCAGGCGCACGTTTTTTTTTTTTTTATTTGAAAATAGTGGAGGGGATGTACTGAGTGTGTGCCAACGAATTCGTGTGGAAATGGGCATGTATAGACACATACTTTGGAGATCCATGCTGAATGTGCGCTTGTCGAGTCGCGTGGAAATGTTCATGTAGTAGGCACACATTTTGAAGACGTATGAAAGGATATATACATGGAGCAAGCACTTAATGGTATAACCAGTAGTCAAGAGAAGAGAGAGAAAGAGACTTATTGGGGTACCCCATTCTTGCCACCTACTCGCTCGTGATTGGCTACTGCTGACGGTGTGTGCAGTATAGTAGCAGAAGAGAAACTCAAGGCGATGTTAGGTACAATACCTATATATAGCCCATGCAAGTGAGATGGTAGATGTGTAGGGCAGTACATTTGTAAAATCAATAATAAAAAAAACATATAACCATTAATTTTGAACAACAACATTGGAAAATGAAACCTATTGTGAACGCTAATTCTTGAGAAACATATAAGCTGATTTATGGGCTGCTCGCCGATAAGTATCAAGTACTTTTTAGCATTAATATATTTGAAAGCTTATAGTGCAAATGATAACACTTTTGCCTTAGACCACGGTGGTCTTGAGGTCAAATCCTCGGAATGGATTTTTTTTTCTCATTACTAAAAGTTTGTCCCTTTTTTTGTTTAAAAATAAACGATAAGTTATTATATTTTATGTTTAATAGTAATATTAATCTTTAATTATTGTTTAATTTATTATTTAATTAAAAGGTGTGAAACATTATTGACAAAATGAGGGCGGCTGTACATGTAAATTTTACCGAAAGATGTTTATTTATAAAATAGTTACTGCGTAAATTTAGATACCCTGATTTTCATGAAATGCTCGTACAAATGAAAGTTTTTTGCATTATTACATTTTTATTCATTGCGAAATAAAACCAGTTTTGTATAAGTTCTACGCACACGCTTTTTTAATTTATTTTTTAAAGATTCGTGATAATGGGTTCTAATTTCTAAATATTTATGTACTATTCTTTGTACTATGTATGATCTATGTCTTCTTGGGTCTTTCGAGTGTCTTATTGGTAATAACGTAGGGGGTATATTTTTTAAAATATAAGACTGCAACACTTCAAAAATTCCTTTTGTCGGGATGTAGTATTGCCGAAAAATTTTGTCTATTATCTTACAAATTTCGATAATATCACTGCATGGCTTAATCAGTCCACCACAATTTTTTCTCCCTAGTAAGATATATAGATAATGTTTCTTCCGCAGTTAAGAGAATGGGGCATTCAAAACATTTTGTTTTTTTTAATAGAAATCTCAAAAAAAAGCCAGCAATATAAATAATGACGTCATTTACATACTTTTGGTTTGCCTTTCTACCATAGCTGTTTTTTGTTTGATCAATAAGTAATTGATTGCTGTTTATGGTCAAATTGTCATTCGATGTAAAATTTTCTTTCACTGCTACATTTTTATGAGAAATTTGTAACAAGGATGTGTCATCTAAAGACTGGAAATTTGCATAAGGGGACTCTTTTGCATCTGCATGGACGAGTAACTTTTTGAATGTGTGCATAAACTGAAATGCGGTAGGATTATTATTGTGCCCACCCTTGCTTCTGACTGCTCTGACAAAATTTTCTAAAAAATCTTGTAATAACTTGTACGTTAGCAAATATCCATTCCAGCTTGCAAAATATATTGTTTATACTCTTTTAAGCAATTGAATAGCGCAATAATTAATCCAACGAAATCTGTTTTTCTGTCAGTTTCAATCATTAATTAGTGTGCCATGCACATTTTTCAACGATGCTACATAATGAACAATGTAGGAAACTCTTCTGCAGACGTCATCAAAATTGCTACTGTCTATAGCATTTTTCTGCTTGTTAGTATGAAATTTTTGTCTTGAATTTAAAATGTCGAACGCCTCATTGATCACGGAGCAAAACTTTGCAGTGCCAAACTTTACTATTTGCATCGCGGCGCCTATATCCATAAATCCATACTCTACACCCTGCATGGTTTCCACTTTTTTTTAAATTTTCATTTCATCAAAGACCAAATTCACGAACACCTCAGCTTCTAAATTATTTTGCTTGATTTTGTCCACTTTATTTTTAACTGCCTGAATAGTATTTAAGTTAATATTACTAAGACATTCAATTTTTCCATACCTCTTATTAATTTGGTTTGGATGAGGTAAACATTTTAAAAATGTTTCCCGCACGTCGTTATAACTCTTAGGCGAATGAAAATGGAGGGTAGCAGCAAATTTTTTCAACGCTGATGGAAACTAGATGCGACGATGTTCTTGTTTGAGTAGTCTCGAAAAAATCAGGTAGCCTATTGGAGGAATTGATTCCTATATTAAAATATTTAATTTCGTTTTTCTGGAGCTAATATGTTTGTAATAAGTAAAAAAAAACGGTAAAAAACGCTAAAAACTGAAAAAAAGTACCCTTGTTGGGAAATGGAAATAAGCAAGGAAAATAATTGTCTACTAAAATTTGTAAAATGTATTTTATGTAAGTATAGAGTTACATATTACATTGTTTAAATATCTTTTAAAAATTATGTTAACAAAAAACTGTTTCAGTAAAAAAATTAACAATTAAGATAAAAATCAGTGTACAACAGTTACAATTTCATTGGGTAAAATGAAATAGATCGGCTTGCACTATAGTTATTTCATACGATAAGAGTGTGTCATAATGACAAAGAATCATTCGATAATTTATCAAGCATTTCATCGGAATTTTTCTTTATTACTTACTTTTATAACATTATGGACTACTTCACCAATCTCACTTTTTTTTCTCAAATGATTTAGCAGAAAATTGGCATTTGTTATGCTCTTTTTAAAACGATAAAGTCTCAGGTTTGCAGTCTTATTTTTACGACGAAGATTTTGAACCTCTTCCCTTGCTTTGAATAATATTTCTCTCACTTTCGTTGAAACATCTAAAATTTACAACATTTACAATTGAAGATGGGCCAGACCTTTGACGTACAGTACTATTTTTGCTACGATAAAAGGAAATACAAATTTTAATATATTAACAGTAATATACTGCTGGTTTATTAGTAACAATGTTTTTAAAGATACCCCAATCAAAAAATTCAATGCTGAATCAACGTTGATTTCAGCGATAAATCAACGCTGAACCAACGTTGAATCAACGTTGATTCCATTAATGACGGAACACTGAAATCAGTCGTAATTTACATTGTTGATTCGACAATAATTCAACGTTGAATGAACACTGATTCAACGTTGAATCAGCATTGAATCAGCGTTGATTTAAACGTTAATTTAATATTAGAAAAATATAATGCGTATTAAATACAGTTTCACATAAAATAACTGGATCCCCTGTTTTGGTGTTATCATACGGATAGTACCTCCACAAACGTCGATGTATCTGCTCCAAATGTTATTATACTACTTTTTAATTTTTGAAAATTTAAATTTAACGTTTTAATCAACGCTGAATCAACGCTGATTCAACGTTGAATCAGTGTTAAATCAACGCTAAAATCAACGTTGATTCAGCATTAGTTTAGCATTAAAGTTTTTGAAAGCATGTACCTGCTATCATCAAACAAACTGTCACTCTCAGATTTCGTAGAATCATTCAAAACATCACCAACTTCAATGACTGATGCAAAACTGGAATCTTTGGGGATCGCTTTATCACTTGTGATTGACTCCACATAATTAAATTCATTAGTATCTTGTATGAACTTATTATAACTGTCACTGTAACAAACAAAATTTCACAAAATTCAGTTATCGTGTTACTTATACTAAGAAGATACGTTGACATTCTGAAATTTTTGTAACCTTAATTCAGGATCTGATTACTGACTCTTGTCTTAATTGATTTGCTACTTATATATTCATGGAACTAGATACATCTATTAATTCCAACAAATTTTTCGTTACTATGGGTCTAGAAAGGACATTTTGCATTGTACTTGAAAGTAACGAATAATACGAAATGTGCTTCTTAAATAATTTGCAAACAATCCCTGTATACTCATTTGGATTAAATAAACGTACGTGGCACAGCATCATTCTTCAGACGCACATTTTTGCACATACCACAAAAGTAAAAGTATTTAGGCTCGAAATGTTTACTGCGAACGTAGGAATGCTTTCCAAGCTTTAGGTTACATGCCATTGATAGCAAGACTTTGTTGCCACAGCTCTCTTTTTTGAGCATCCTTGCCCACACTAAAGCAAATATGTATGCATATAATAACAAGCACTACCATAATAAGCAACCATTTCACCCAATATTTTATAAATTAACACACCCATTCACAATCTTTTGTGCAACAAACACATGTTAGTACTATAATACAGAATTTTTACCTGTGAAAGAAAAAATTTTAAGGTGCTAACTCATAACTCTTAAGTTTGCATGTTGGCACGCAGTAAGTTCTCATTTTTCCTTATCATTTTACAACTTAAAAAGGAATTGTACAGTAATTTGCAGTTTTACTAACATTTTAGCCAATGCAAACGTAATAGACAGCAGACAGCTCAAAATAAGTGTATACGAAAATCCACACTGTCAGCAGTAGCCAATCACGAGCGAGTAGGTGGCAAGAGTGGGGTACCCCAAAAAGTTTCTTTCTCACTCTTCTCCTGACTACTGGTTATATATTAAGTGCTTGCTCCATGTATATGTGCTCGAAGGACGTCTGAGTAAGAACACAGCCTGCAGTCAACTTCACCAGAGATTAGTAGGGAGATTGCTGTGCTACGGAGCGTGCCCACTTTTTTCCAGTGGTTCGAGTGCCCCGCCACGGCCAAGCGGCCGAACCAGGCTCACATTTTTTTTTATTTGGAAAGCATGGTAGGGGTATTAGAAGAGTGGATTCGCGTGAAAATGTCCATACAGGCGCACAATTTGGAGACACGTGTAAGTAAGGGGTATACCGAATGTGCGCCTACGAGGAGAGGAGTGAAAATGTCGGCTAAATAGCTGTACCTACAGCTGAGCGTGCAGCCAAAGCAAGCGACGACACGAGTTTTTCTCTTTTGAGAGTCTTTTGACTCTGCAACCGAGTACATGCTTTGTATATATTTAACTGACTTGCTCTCACTCTGGCTTCAATGTTATCTATAAATCTTATTAAATTAAATCGTGGAACTAAATGATCATTAATTATATACGAAGAATTTTGATTTTAATACATTATTTTATAACTTTCCCGTACTCTTAACGTTCCCAAATCCATTCATGTTTTTAAAAAATATCTAGATTCAACTATTTATTGAGGTTTTCAGTACAGCTTTAACCAATAATTTATAAATTTTACACATCTTAACTGGTGTAAACTGTAAGACAAGCTCCAAAAGATATCCATAAACATATATTTATGACTTTGAAAGGAATATAACATGTTCTTCGGATAGCTTAGATAAATGAGGCTAATGCCCCTTCGTGGATTGTTTTTCACTTAAGGCTTCAATTCAACTTCATGGTAGATTTTTTTATTTTTATTTTTTATTCAATTTATCATTTTATCTTCATTATTTTTCTTTGTGTTTTGTTAAATATATATATGTATACATATAAACTCATAGGGCTCCGCCACTCTTGAACAGAGGGGCCAGTAAGCGATCCGGGTCATTAGGTGATAGGCGCTTGTGTTG